AACAAATCATGAGCAGAGTTTTGAATAACCTCAAGTTTACTGACGATAGGATTTCACAGACCGGCTAGGACTGCACTAGAATAATAGTCTTGAAATAAATTAAGGTTTATAGGCAGCAGGTGAGCTGTATTGGTGAACAAAGAAGCCAAGAAGCAGCATGAAGCTCTGAAATAAGAAAAGATCAAGGATCTATCTTTGGATTGCAGAGATAATAGTGCTGCATTGGTAAGCAAAGCTGCAGTTATTTCGCTATAATTAGATAGATGAGAATGCAACTAGGCAAATACAGCCAAAACCAGTTGGATACAGAGAAGAGGTACTGAAAAGACTGAAGTGGTCTCATCACAACAGTCCCCACTTTTTGATTTTCTATGTGTAGTGATGAATAAGATGCATTTTTTAAAAATTTTACAGAAGCCCTATTCTTCTATTACAGTATGCAAGCAGGGACTAGCAATAAATGCTGACCCAGTCAGCGACTCCCACAATGCATGAATGAATAAAAAACTTTTCTTCTGTTGTTTGCAATGCATTCACAGCATCTCATGGAATGATCACAGGTAAAGACAGAGCTTTCAAAATCAAACCTCCCAAAACAGCAAATGACAATCATCTTATATGCAGCAGAACCTGCCTCTCTGGGATTGAGTACTATCAGCAAAAGTGCACGTGAAACTATTTCTTCCCAAATGGATTTCCTGCATGTGAATCATCTTCTATAGATAGAAGGATGCTGATATGCTCACAAAGTCTCAACTTTAAACAGCAATACAGTTTACCTGTGTCTTTGCAATGACTCAGTTTAAGAACGATGTGAATGAAAGCCTTCTTATTGGCAGCATGATAATTAGTGACTTAATGTAAGAATGTAATAATTCTTCACTCCTTTTCTTCCTTCCAACATTCCAAACAAGAATCACCATTTGTCACATTAATGAAATTGAAGTTAGCAGCAGAATGGCTAAGGTGGACTAAGTATAGCAGAATTAAGATTAATTACAGACGATGATTTTACTACCCAAAAGGCAGCCATTATCTTACCTACATATAATTACTTTCACATTAAAAAATTATGAACTTAAGCTCAATTCTGAATGGAAAAACTTTCCGAAAGCCAGTAACTAGGAACATCCTTCAAAGCATTAGGCAAATATTTGAGAAATATTACATCCGGTAAATGCAAATCTAGGTCTACTTCCACTAAAACAGAGAAAATTGAGCAAAGACTTTTTTTTAAAGTTACAAAGGATTTTGATGAATTGGTTTTGGAAAATTAACTGTTTTTGGGAGTCATTTTTTGGGGCAATAAAATCAGTCTGTAATTATTCAAAGTGATAGCTTTATTGAAAATCTTTTAGCTATTCTTCTGCTAACTTTACTTCAATCGACTTATGTTCTTAATGTTATTATTTGATGGCTGGTAATTAATTTCACTTTGTCTGAAGAAGAAATCCTGCCATTTGACTTAAACAGAAGTTATTGTGACATCATAGCTAGCATACCTGTACTAATTTTGTTTACATTTCCTGTCAACCTTGCTGTGCTGGATTTATCATTTAGAATTAGCACTAACTTGCAGCCTAAGAATGTACAGGAGGCTAAATTTAAAGAAACAGAAGAGTTTGTTTTTATAAAAACTTGTGGGACGTAGACACCACTGGCCAGCTAGCATTTATTGCCCATCCTTAGCTGCCCTTGAGAAGGTGGTGGTGAGCTGCCTTCTTGAACCGCTGCAGTCCATGTGCTGTAGGTTGACCCACAATGTCCTGAGGGAAGGAATTCCAGAATTTTCACCCAGCGACAGTAAAGGAATGGCAATATTTGTCCGAGTCAGGATGGTGAATGGCTTGGAGGGAAACTTGAAGATGTTCCCAGATATCTACTGCACTTGTCCCTCTAAATGGAAGTGGTTGTAGGTTTGGAAGATGCTGTTTAAGGATCTTTGATGAATTTCTGTAGTGCATCTTGTAGATTGTACACAAGCCTGTGGATGTAGTGCCAATCAAGTGGGTTGCTTTGCCCTGGGTGGTCTCCCATCCAGGCAAGTGGTGAGTATTCCGTCACATTCCTGACTTGTGCTTTGCAGATAGTGGACAGATTTTGGGAAGTCAGTAGGTGATTTATTCGCCACAGTATTCCTAGCCTCTGACCAGTGTTTATGTGGACAGTCCAGTGAGTTTCTAGTCAATGGTAATCCTAAGGAGGTTGATAATGGGGGAATTCAGTGATGGTAACACCATTGAATGTAAAGGGGTCATGGTTAGATCATCTCTTATTGTAAATGGGAATTCCCCTGGTATTTGTGTGGCACGAATGTTATTTGCCAATTGTCAGCCCAAGCCTGGATAGTGTCCAAAACTTCTTGTTTTTGAACATGGGGTGCTTCAGTATCTGAGGAGTCATGAATTGTGCTGAACATTGTTGCACAATCAGAAAACAACCCCACTTCTGACCTTATTATGGAATAAAGGACATTGAAGAAGTAGCTGAAGACAATTGAGCCTGGGACACTATCCTGAAGAACTCCTGTACAGATGTTGTGCAGCTGAGATGACTGACCTTCAACAACCACAGTCATCTTCCTATGTACCAGGTATGACTCCAGCCATGGAGAGTTTGTCGCCTGATACCCAATCATTTCAATTTTGCTCGGGCTCCTGGATACTACACTGTCAAATGCAACCTTGATGTTAAGGGTCGTCACACTGATGTCACTTCTGGAATTCAGTTCTTTTGTCCATGTTTGAACACAAGCTGTAATGAGGTCATGAGCTAAGTGGTCCTGGCAGAACCCTAACTGGGCATTACTAAACACTGTTGCTGTGCAAATGCTGCTTGATAGCACTGTTGATGGCATCTTCCATCACTTTATTGACGACCAAGAGTAAACTGATGAGGAAAGTAATTGGCAGGGTTGGATTTGTCCCTTTTTTTTTGTACAGGACACACGTGGGCAATTTTCCATATTACTGGATAGATACCAGTGTTGTAAACTTTAATCAAAGAACTTGGCCTGGTGAACAGCAAAGTTCTGGAGCAGAAATGTTGTCAGGATCCATAGACTTTGCAGGATTCAACGCCTTCAACCGTTTCTTGATATCATGTGGAGCAGATCTTCTGGGCTGAAGACTGGTAGCTGTAATGCTGGGGACCACTGAGGAGGCCGAGATGGATCTCCACTTGGTACTTCTAGCGGAAGGTTGCTGTGAATGCTTTTAGCCATGTCTTTAAGTTTGGGGTTCAAGGAAAAGATCACTGATTACTTAAGCTAAAAAAGGAAAAGTTTTAAATCCGAAACACTGGGGGTATGCGAGACAATATCTCTTATTAAGGACCCGCACCATGTGCTAAATGAGGGTCTAGTAAGGTTACAGACAAGAGATTTGGATGGGTGAACTTTACAAACTGTAAAGCTATTGAGTCAGGAGATCAAAGTTGCAGCATTGCATGGGCTAATGCTACACACATGAATGATGTGTTGAGTGTCCTGTTTGATCAAAAACCAAGTAATGAATTAGGTTTCATTCTTTCCAATGTTTAGCTGGAGGAAATTGTGGTTTGTACAAACTGGTTATGGTACAGAAGCAGTAAAGGGCAAGAAAGAGGTTAAAAATGGTCACCAGCAGTCACAGAAGCTAGATCCATAAACGTGGATGATGCTACCATAGAGCAGTACATTGCCAAGGAAAGGGAGGGAATCAAGATTAGATCCATGGGAAACCTAAACGTAACCAAAGTATTATTGACTAAGATAATTGAATTGCCAGTTTTTTGTGGCGATGCATGTCGCAGCTACAGAGCTCAATAGGAATCAAACACATTAAAAGCAAAGTCTATAGGTTAAGACATTAGATTGTTTAAAATGCTTCAGAAGAAATTTCATTATTCAATTGAACCAGGGCGGATGAGTACCAAGCTCTTGGGAGGATTTCCAGACTGAAAGCAATTACACAGTGGTGCATGCTGAGGCTATTTGAATGAGAGGATGAAAATTTCAAAAATTTTTTGATCGACCAGAGTCTAGCAGAGTTCAACAAACACAGGGGTAGTAATTTGATTAGGACTTAAGAGTATTGGGAGAGTAGTTTGGAAGTGTCTGTTTTATTGAAAAGTGGAAGATGGGAGACTAGGAAGATTCTGGAGGTGACAATATGCATGGATGAGATTTCAAAAGATGTGCAGAGAAAGAAACAGGTATGAATAACATTACACAATTAAGCCAGTTTTGTATTGGACAGAATAAGGTTGGAAACTCAGCCCAAAGTTAAATAGGATGCCAAGATTGAAAAAGTTTGGTTTAAAAAACGACAGTGTAGATGGAAGGGATAAAATAGAAAGTGACAGAACAGAGTTTGCAGATCTGAGGACATCAACTTTAGTTTGGATGTCAACCATCTGATAATATCATGACAATGGAGGGGACTAATAGAGTAAAACAGAACTGGATACTGTCAGTGCACGCAAAGAACCTGACTTCATACTTCCAGTTACTATCAGCTAGATGAGAAATGAATGATAAGTAAAATGGGAGCTATTTCAAAAAACGGCCAAACTGAACAGCAATGGCAATTACAGTACAAGCATATCTGTTCCCTTGCCCATGAATTAAATAATTAGAGAATGCTGGAGAAACCCAGCAGGTTTAGCAGCATCTGGGGAGAGAGAAACAGAGTTAAACATTTTGATTCTGGCATAACTTCTTCAGAATTAAATAATTACTACAGGCTAAATACATTGCTGAAAGGTGGCCAAATTCATTTTAAGATGAGTGAGTACATACACATGCACACACAGGCATCATGCACACATGGTGAGTGTAAATTCGTAAGCATTGCAATGACCTTCGATGTAATAATTTAGATTAATTTGAAAAGATGCGCAGAGGGAAAAGACGACAGAATTCTCCATGTTGAGGACTCAAAATTTTAAAAGTAATAGAAATATAAAATACTGTTTCACAGAATCTTTCACACAACAGGAAGTTTATTTCTGCTACTCACCACTTAGACAACAGATCTCCCCATGTTTCCAGAATTTTTTCACCACATTCTTTGGAGACATCACCAGAGCCACTCAGGAGAGGCTCATCATTATCTGAAGAAACAGAGCAATAGACTGAATAGGTTTGACTGAAGATGACTTCCTTTCACAGTCTAGAAAAATAATGTCAAGAAGTGATCTTACAGCAATCAACAGGTTAGATGCAGGAAGGATGTTTACCCTGGCTGGGGTATCCTGAATGAAGGGAGACACTCTCAGAATAAAGGGGTGACCATTTAACAGCAAGAAAAGAAGGAATTTCTACATGGCACAGAATCTCTGGAATTCTATGCCTCAGAAGGTTGTAAAAGGATCAGTAATCGAATATGTTCAAGACTGAAATCAATGGATTTCTACATGTTAAAGAGAAATCAAACGACACAGGAATAACGGATGAAAATGGTTCAGAGTAGATGATCAGTTATGATCTAATTGAGTGGCACAGCAAACTCAAAGGGCTAACTGGTCTATTCCTATTCCGTACGCTCTACGTTCATTCATACACTATGTGCCGATGTTGTAATCAAGTTTTGCTTTCCTGCTCACATTTTCCAGTAGCATATTAAATATAACCACATTGCATATAAGCTACTAAACATCCCATTCATAGTTTTATTTTATGTTCCATCTGTTACTACTATTGCATGGTATATCCAACATTTATTTTCAAACCTATCTCAAAAACACACAGAACAAAAGACCAAATACAAGTGAAGTAAAATCATGTATCAAATCCCAGGGTATCTGCTCACAAATTGAGATAAGCAGAGATTCCAAATAGCACAGCTGGAATTGACTACTTTTAAATGTCTTGATGGTGGAATCACCAACTCATTAGCAATGCTTGCTTTTCACTTCACACCAAGGTTTTTCACTCATTGACCTCGCTTCCACACTAACACACAATCCTTAATTTGCTCATAGGTTCAGCCATACTTTCAAGCTCGACCAGAGCTCCATGATTTTGTGGTTTAGTGAGGCTTAATGCCACTGCAATTGTTGGGCAGTCACATAACAATCTTGCACAAATTTAAACTAATCCAGAGTTATCAGTTTAGAGCTTTGACTGATCTTGAGAATGACTATTTGATTTGCACTGGGAATGACTGACATTTTCAACAAATCAGGACTTTTAGGTTATTAAATCTTATACATAATGATTTCACTGCATTTGATTACAATTATGTTGTGAAAAATAGTTTAGCAGCAGAAATATATTCTTTATGAAATCAGGAAATTGCCTTTTGCTCAATACGGCAGTTTTGTGATTGGACAAAACAGGAAGTGATAAAAAATTTGGGATAGCAGCTTATACATATGCATGTACAACCATTTAAACGTACATCTGATTCAGTCAAAAATGCCCTATAATCAGCACTGAGGAGGATACAAATTCATTTTGGACCAAATGCATATGCAAGCTATACAAGAAAACATCTCTTTCAATCCTTATTAGTCCCTTAATTTAATTCATAATGGATTCTAAAATGTTGTCCTAAGATAATACTGTAGGCATAATGAATGTTTTAAACAGTCACAACTAAAACCAGGAAAGCACTTCACAAAAAACTGAACGTTATCCTGCAAACTGCGATTAGTTTAAAAAGAAAAAGAGCCACTTCAATTCAGAATTGAACTCACCTTCCTCTTCATCATCCTCAGGAGGTGAAGGGATGATGGACCCCTGCGAACCATAATGAGGTAAGCGCATAGTCGGGCTTGCTGTGGTTTTCCTTCGCTCACGCTCAGATTCGCTTTCCAAACTTGCAACCTCATACAGTGTATCACTGTTACTTTTTCTTTCTTTTCGTTCAATCTGTAAATTAATTATAGCGGTTGTTCTAATTTACGGGGCACGTGCAACGTACTGAAACAAAACCTTTTACACCAATACAGTGCATATTTTTCAAATCTCATTAAAATATTCAACGTTTCTGGATCTGAAAAATGCAAAGTTCTTCCTATTGTTCATTTAAAGGATGCCAGGTACGACATGGCACACAACTCACATTTATATAATGCCTTTAACTATAGTGAAAGAGTCTCAACGTCAAAGGGAACACAAATCGACAACCTCAAAATGCTGTTGAATGATTTCTAAATCCCTTGCTGTTAACATAAGGCATTGTATAAATGCAAACATATATTTTTAACAATTAGTTGAAGGTAGCCACATTAAGTACGACCATAGAGCTCAGTAAAAACCGAAAGAACTGTGAATGCTGTAAATCAGGAACAAAAACAGAAATTGCTGGAAAAGCTCAGCAGGTCTGGCAGCATCCGTGAAGAAAAAAAAAGAGTTAACATCAGGTCTGGTGATCCTTGCTCAGAACTGAGGTTCTAAGGGTGGGTCACCGGACCCGAAACGTTAATTCTAATTTGTTTCTTCACAGGTACTGCCAGACCTGCTGAGCTTTTCCAACGACTTCTGCTTTTGTACCATAGAACTCAGGTTTCCTATAAAATGCATTTAAGACAGAACAATTCTGGTGAAGCCAAAGCATACTGAAGCACAGATTCAATCCCCCATTTTGTTGCACTCAATCTTTCAACCATATTGCTGTAAAGAAAAGGTGAAGTAGAAGTCAGATTTTACTTACAGGGAGGAAGGAAAGACAATGTGATCCAATAAATTTTCCAGCTATTTAGTATGCAAACTGGTTATTGGATTCAAACAAGACAGTAAATTTCCTGAAAAAAGTTAACATTCTGACTGGAAGTAGTAAATGGTCAAAGGGTAACTGAGAAAGAACAGGTCGGAGTCAGGAGGGAATGGCAAGTCTATTATAAACTCCTAGTTACATTATCTTGTGCTATGTGGAACGAGTAAGTTCATTAATACAGATTTTCTTAACATAACAGGGGTTAACCAAATTTCTGTTACCTGTTTCAGCTTCAAATAGAATGTTTCTGTATAACTTCGTTTACTGAAGAGCCAAAACATCCTTTCACTAGGCGGGCATACTCTGACTTTGGTCTCCAGAAGAAAGCGGACCGGCTCTTGTACTTCAATAATGATCAAGTCAACTGCTATCGTCATATAAATTGATTTGTCTGCAAATAAGAGGTCAAATGCTCTTTAGTAACACAGCATTCTGCATTTTTGTCCAGGTGTACTTGACTGGATATGTTCCCAAGTGATAGTGCATTTCAAGTTAATCTGCAAACTTATTTTAGTTCAAGAAATTGTGTTATTTCTCTAATGTTATATCTCAGGATGATTTCTATACAGGCTGTATCTAAAAGTCAATAGGTTTGTACAGGTACATGGCACCATAAATACAGGTTTTACATCTTTATTTTGTGGAATGGAAGGGGATGGCAGAGGTTTGCAAGGTGATAGATAGAAGCAGCAAAAAAGGCCTTGGTGTTTTCAACAGCATAAATCAGTATAATACTTTGAATCAATCTTAAAATAAGTCTTGTTGCATAAATATTAACACTTAGAATTTGATCAAAATAAAAACTGATTAAAATACGTCTAGTAACGCAAGAAATTACAACCTCAAATCAGTTCACGCTAATACAGCGACATCACCTCAACAGACTGCAATCTGCATGTAAATCTAACTTCCATTACAAGTATTAATTTTTAATCACACAGCCTCTCAACTTTGATCATCTGTTGCCATTATAAGCCTATTTAAAGTTTTGGCAAAAATCTGCAGCGCGTGATGCGGATGATGTTGTTGACTTGCTTGCCAAGCTGGCTAGTTCTCATTCAGATGTTTCATCACCATGCTGGGCGACATCATCAGTGGAGCCTCCAATGAAGCGATGTTCTTCTACTCCGCTTGGGATTTATACTGTCTGGTCTGTTATAGTGAGTACTGTCATTTCCGGTTTTGATCTGTACGGGTTTGTATATGGGGTCCAATTCTATGTTTGTTGATTGCATTATGGGTGGAGGACCATGCCTCTAGGAATTCCCATATGTGTCTGTGTTTTCTCTTGGGCTACTATGGTTACCTTGTCCCAGTTAAACTGATGGACTTCAGTGTCTGAGTGTACCGATATTAAGGAGAGTTCGTCGTGCCGTTTTGCTGCTATTGATGTTCATGTATTCTGATGGCTAGTTTCCTTCCTGTCTGTCCGATGTAATGTTTGTGGCAGTCGTTTTGTGGTATTTTGTAAACCACGTTCTTTCTGCATGTTGTGAGAATGGGGTCTTTAATCCTTGTAAGTGTTTGTCATAGAGTGGCTGTGGGCCACCATGATTCCTAGTGGTCTTAGGAGTCTTGTTGTCAGTTCCAATATGTTCTTGATGTACGGTAGTGTGGCCAGTGTGTTAGGGCGCACTGTGTCCTCCCGTTGTTGTGTCTGTTTTGTAGGCATCTGCGGATGAAGTTGTAGGGATATCTGTTCACAGTGAGAATTTTGAATAGGTGCTCTTCCTCTTTCCTGCGTAGTTCCAGAGTGTCGCAGTGTATCTTGGTCCATTTAAATAGTGTCCTAATGAAGCTTTGTTTGTGGACAACGGGGTGGTTGCTGTGAAAAGATTTCTAGAGGCATGGTTCTCCATCCATAATGCAATCAATAAACACATAGAATTGGACTCCATTTAAAACCCATACAGACCAGAACCGGAGATGACAGTACTCACCATAATGGACCAGACAGTATAAATTCCAAGTGGAGTAGAACAACATTGCTTCATCGGAGGCTCCACTAATGATGTCATTTAACATGGTGACAAAACTTATAAACAAGAACGAGTCAGCTCGGCAAGCAAGTCAACAACCTCATTATAAGACTATGTTCTGAAGCTCAAGTGCCAGCACTCACTGGAATTTCACCAGTGGTCTCAAATCAATGCTGGAGTAGAAGAGGATTAGACAATTAGCTACATTTGGGCCCCTTTTGTAAAACCCACATCGACTAAAAGGAACCCTTTATATGTGCTTAGGCAACAATACAGTCTAGACAATGGTTTGTACAAGATTAGGCTAGGATGTTGAGCAGTTCAAACCTTGAGCTGGCAGAACTGGCTGTAATACACCCCATTAGGGTTTTCAGAATAAATTCCATCAACAAGTCTCATTTGTTACTGAAGCCCTTTCATATTAAAAAGTTAAATAAAAGACACACTCGGAAAGGTCTATCCTCCATTTCACAAGGTCATCAGAAACATCAGATCACCCCTCACCAGGTATCCCTCTATTTTTACATTAATGATCTCATTAGCCTTCCACATTGCATACTCTGTAAACTTTAACTTATTCTAAACTCTGCTGTCTGCATTTAATGTATGCCAAGTCTTGTTCGATCACCTGTCTGATTGATGATCTCTTTTACCTAAGAGTCCCCAAATGCGTGAAAATTTCTATTATCTTCGAGTTCAAGTCTGTCCATGGCTTATCACTCTCATCTCTAACTCCCTCCAATCTTACAACAGTTCAAAATTCTAATATTTCTCCAACTCCCATCTCTTATGCATTGCTCAATTCCTTCATTCCACTCTTAGCAACTATCAGGATCTTAAGCTCAGCAACTTCCTCTTTAAAACTCTCCATCTTTGTTCTTCTTTGAAACTAACCTATTATAGCTATTAGTCGCTTGACCTCATGTTCCTTTCTTTAGTGGTGTCAAAAATTTTGCCTGATTACACTCCTGTGAAGTTTTGGTACATGTTAACCCCTCAAAAATGTTCATAAAATTCACCTCATTGTCACGAACGTACATTCATGTTATTCTCCCTTTCAATCTACCATGAAAAACAAAGTTGAACTGTATGGTGACTAAGTTTCAACTTCTTTCAAACATTTTTAGATGATTTTTAACTTTGAAACAACAACGTACAAAACAAAAAATATGGCAACACGCAGGTAAAAGCACAATCTCTGTTTCTAAGGGATCTGGAGTCCTGCTCTGGTAACTTTTTCACGAAGATGTAAAAAGATGGGAACATTCCAGAAGGCAGCATGTTTAACATTATCCTTTCACTTTGCATCTCTAAGGTAAGTCAATTTTATTACCCTTAGGTGTTTCTTCATTTACAGCTTGAAAATGTGGTGTGTTGGGGTTCCAGTTTCCAGTAATTACGTAAGATTTACCATCTGAGCTTTTGCCCATGGATTCCTGCAAAATATTATATATAAAACAAAACAGATTTGGTCTTTCTGCTGCTCTTATTATATAAATTAGGTACTTGTTAACAAGACAAGTATAATTTTGGCTTGTTAATGAAGCCATTATTCATACTACAAAGCTATTTTCAGCACAGGACAACTTGAACATAAGCACAATTTGTTGCAATTTATTTATTTTTAAATGCGATATATTTTCTTGCCACAACAGCTGCTGTTGTGGAGGTAAAGGATGTCAGAGCTTGAAGCAGACTAGTGACAACTCTACTTTAAGTACAGAGCACAACTATAACAAATCAAGTCTCTCAGTATAGGATTTAATACTCTCAGCTGAAGGTCAGCAACTTATTTAAAACTAGGATGTAGTGAAAGTGTCTGAAGGTCTGTGGAAGCTGTTTGCATTACTAGGGACTTCAGAATTCAAGCAAGATTTCATGAAGACTTGGTCTTCATCACTGAAATGGTAATCAAACTGGTAACTTACAATTGAAGACGAGGGAGGGCGAAGGGGGGCACGGCATGAGGGGCAGCGAGAGAGAGAAAGCAAGGCATCTGGTGGTAGCCTTTAACCGGAGGGTGACCATGCCTCAGGTGAGGGGAGAGATTGAGAAGAAAAATCCTTCAAGGTAATTTCAGTAGTGCAGGAATTGAACCCATGTTGGCATGACTGCATCACAAAACAGCCACCCAGTCAATTGAGCTAACCAACCCCCAACTTTCGATATATTTCTCACTTCACTATATTAAGAAATCGAAATAAAATTGAAATACGTGTTGCTTATAAAGGCCACGAATTGTGAATATCATCTTACCAAATCCAGAAGATGCATATCACTGTTTCGTACATCTTTGCCAGGACTGAGAAGAACGCCAAAGCACCTGATGAGAGAACATAACTGAAAACACTGATAAAAGTTATGAATAGAATTAAACATTATGATGTCCATTTCACTCAGCTACTCATTAGCAGTGTTCTATTTTTATAACATGGTCCTTTGTTTCACAGTGCAAATTTTCAAATACAATAATGTGCAATTTTGAATACCCTATTTATTGACACATCAGCCAAAGTTATTGCGAAAGGTACGCTGTAGACTGATTCAGATATTAACCAAAATTTGAACATACTTAACAATTGGAGATATGCAGAAAAATTGAATGAATAGTGCTGAGAAAATTAACGGGTATCCAACAAAGCTTTGAAAAAATTGAATGATTCGGCAGGATAATTTGTGAATTAGTTTCACAAGATGTTGAATTGGTAGCAAATGGACATAAACAGGATCTATAATAGTGGTACAAATGGAAGAATAAACATTCCATCCAAAAAAAGAGAAAGTATTGTTATAAATGTTGTTGAGTCAATTACTACATTTAAAAACAATCAAGTAGTCAATGAGAAAGATTATTAGGTACGCAATAATGTAAATTTGGAGGAGCTACTTTAATTGGAACTTGGATCACTACTGTCATGATAGTCTACAGACCTCTTCTTGTATATTGAAGGCTTATGTTTGATAAATCCTGAAATCCCTGCAATTACTACCATGGAATTTAGTGGTACTTAAACAGTGAACCAAAATAGCAGCGTTCACGGTTTTTCAGTAGTACTACACTGCCCTCTGTATTTTTACTGCATTAACATCCAACCTCGTCAGAAACTGATGATTTTACCAGATCAACGTAGACCAGTAAATTCAATTCAATGAATGTTAAATTTTTAAAGCAGCATGCTCTGAACATAAACTCTTTCTGGTGTATACCAACCGTAAATTTTTTTTGTTAAGGGCTGGCTATTTCCTCTACACAAAATATTAGCTCAAAGAACAAAGACAATCAAAGCTAGGAGCTGACAGGAACTACTCGGCCCTCGAGCCTCCTCCACTATTCAATTAAATCGTGGCTGATCTAATTACTCAAATTCTTGCCTGTCCTGATATTCTTTCATGTTCTTGTTTATCCGTGAGGGAAGAAACAGGTCAAATTTGGAATTTAGGGAGCAGGTACGTAAATTGTGAGGCTGTGCGCAATACACAGCTCTTTAAATTCTCATCTGATCAGAACAAGCATAGAAATAAACTCATGCAACAATTCTGATGCTCAGTTCGTTGACCAAAAGGACAGCCTCAGCAGAAATTTTAGTGGGAGCCACAAGAGTCCACTTAATGGGAGTGTGACAGCAGATTGTAGAAAATAATATAGCAGTAAATCTAATTCATAGTGAATGTGAAAAATTCTGGAGAAAAGAACTCATTTCAGATTTATCAAAGACAATTTATAATCAATTTTTTTGACACTAGTTTATTTTTTCTCTAGCACCAGACCTGATTCTGCATTTGGTGCTTTATCTTTAAACCCAGAACCTGGATGGTGCAGCTTGCATTGCTCCTGCCTCTGAATCATGAAGACCTGGGTTCTACGCTCACTCCAGGATTTACTGACTTCAAATTAACCTAGTCAGTAGTACATGCAAAGCCAGTGTATTGGTACATGCCCACATCTTAAATAAATGGGGAAGATTAGCTGCAGGAAAAGCATTAACTGCAAAACCAGCTGCCAGACCCCCAAAAACAAAATGATACAAAAGGTAATGAGCCATTACTGTGGCAACACTTTGACAAGTCAAAACAGAGGTGAGAGGTAACTTATACTTAAATCAATAGCAAAAGCCTATTCTCCCCAGCCCAAAATTTGCGCTGATTAAATCATACACCAAATTTTAAACTACATAGATAAATAGAGAAATCTAGAAGTTGCAGTCCAAAGAACACTGCACTTCCACTATAAAACGTAGCTCACCGACAGACTCAGCATCAAAATCCTTACGCACGCACAAGGTTGTGATACTTACACATCAAACAGGTCAGAAAAGTTTGTGTTGCTGCATTCAGGTGCAAGTGAATTTTTAACAGTCGAGAAATCAATCACAAATGACCTAAAATGTAATTTTGTGTGGACTTTCATTCCTTAAGGCTGGCAGTGTTAGAGAGTCATAAAGAATTTAAACTACATTTTTATTTATTTTTGCTCTTACCTCTCACATACATACTGTGTAAATTTGTTCTTTTTTCCCCAAGTCTGTTTCTTGTGTCCCAGACCTGATGAGTTCAAGATGGAAAGACTCTAATGCTTGTCTCCTTTTAGCAATGCTTAAATTCTGTGCTATCAAACTGGATTCAAATTTTGCTCCTACAGCCGAACACCCTGACCCAAACACTCATGTATTATTTAAACTTCCCTGTAACTGTAAAAATGACAAACTTTCAGAACTAACTCCTAGATTGTCCATAAGCCCTATATAAAGTTTACTCCAAATATCTCAATGTTGTGTGCATGGGTTTGAATAATTCTTCCAAATCTTTATTTCCTATTTGGTACAAGAATCAAGTGCAGTTTATAATTCCCAGTTAGACAGTCTCAGAGGACTTTTTTGGTCTGATTGGTCGAAGAACCTTTCCTTCTTCTCAAGCACATCATAGATTCCCTTCAGTGGGCACTGCGCCAAGTTACGACTCAATGGGAGCCAGTCTAGAAGTTCACAAAAACACATGGTAGCCATCAACTTAATGAAAAAGCAGCTCTGGTCCTTCACCAAGACAATTCAGGCCTTTATTGTGCATGATGTTTCAGTTTGCTCTTCATTCGTTTTTCGTTGCGACCTCTTTGGTCATCACACAGGACATTGAGTCACACTGGCTGCCTCAACAGAAAGCTGCCCTGACATTCACAGAAAAACCAACAAATGCAGAAGAAAAGTCACTAATCACACAAGGTGCTGCCTTTTCAATTGCTTCCTGTTGCAAGAAACAGTCACACAATTTTTCAAGCCTATGTACAGAATACTGAGGTACTGGAAGTAAGTTTTACATAGGGCTTATGGACAACCAGAACTTAGTTCTGAAAGTGTGTCATTTTACTATTAACAGGAAGGTTTAGGTAACGTGAATATTTGGATCAGGGTGTTCAGCTGTAGGGGCAAAATTTGAATCTAGTTTCGTAGCACAGTTTTTAAGCATTGCTAAAAGGAGACAAACAGCTGAGTTTTTTTAATCATGTACTTATCAGGACTACGACACAAGAAACAGACTTGAAAAAAGAACACAAGTTTGAAGGCAAAAGGAATTCGTATATACACTACACCTTTTTTAATGGAAAAACAGAGTCATGGACACTGCCAAACTCCACTGCAGTTCCATGGCAACAGCCTGACCAGTTAGAAATTACCTGCCTGGACAAGAACTGAGATTGCAGGTTAACTGTTCTGGCTTACTCTCCACGATAATAATGGCCTAATAAGTTAGTATCCTCTTCTCATGCGGTGTTTCTTTTTGTCTGTCCAGACCCCTCAGGATTGAATATTTCTATCAGATCTGCTCTCAGCATCCTCCCCTAAGGAAAGGGAAGCCCAACTTTCCCAAACTACTTCCACAATTAAAATTCATGCTTGAAATTATTTGCATAAAACCTCTTCAAGAATACTTTCTAACGCATTCATATTCTTCCTGAAGTGAGACACCTAGAAGTGGACACAATACTTCAGCAGAGGCTGAACTGATGTCTTACACTAACTCAGCATAATGCCTATGCTCAGGAGCAGTGAAGACCAAAGTAATAAGGGGAAAATAATCACAGAGGTAGTGGGACATGTGGGTCCACCGATGAGATGGGAAAGAAGAGAAAATGATTGCTGCATTCTAATCCTAAATCTTAAAATTACATTCAAACTAACATTCAATCACCTGAAATTTACTCAACATTTCCTATATCTACAGCATCTACATCATTACACGGCTGAAAGTTATGTTTTTTAAAGTTACTTCTCACTGTAAATTTAAAACAAAGCACAAAGATGTATTCACAGAATCATACTTAGGACAATAGTGCAATTCAAAAATTTGGATAAGTTGCCTATTATCACGTTTTTCTATATTTCAGGTAAGATCTGATACCTTTCAATGACAAGTTCCTTGTTTGACGATTGCTGCACGTAAGTCACAATCTTCTTTTCCACTCCTTGTCGGAGTCTGAAACACTGTTTATCTTTATCTTTGGGGACTGCACTGTCAAGAAAAATTCCAAAAACATCAATTCATTTTGGTAATTCATGCAATGAAATTCAGTAGGTTTTATTGCAGGCTATTAATTTTCGGGACCTTACTTTGAATCCCACTTCACTCTTGCATGTAACATTTCTCTCTGATATTTGCAATATTTTAATATAAATTAGCAGCAGAAATAGCAATGCAGTTTTCAGTAGTGAAAAAAGGCATTCATAATTCAACATGTTACATCACAGAAAAATTATGATGCCGGTTTCCTTGCTATGCAAATTGGAAATGTCACAGTTCCTGTACATTAAAATGCCACTCAGCAGTTTAGGTTAAGCTATCTTGCTGCACAGACAAATGGTCCTAAAATTTGAAATATCGATCTTGTGACACTATGTATATGTACCTGTTGAAGAAAGCAAAATACATCACCCTACAGTATGAACACTCCTTATCTTAATAAAAATCACAAGTTACCTCAAAAAATTAAAAGATCCTTTTCAATATTTTTTAAACATACTATTATTATAACTTACTAAAATACAGACAATGCTGGGATTTAGCCCTACAGCAAGATCATGACATCTGATCATGGTCACAATCTCACTTTTCTAAATACCTCCATACCCATCTATTCTACTCACTTTATCCAATCTCTGTGCTAGAATTTACCATATTCTCTACACTCCTTAGCCAAAGATGATTCTTCTAGATTTTCACATGATTTTTTGGTGACAATCTTGTATGAATGTTCTCTTAATTATGCTCTCCTCCAAAAAGAAACATTTTCTATGCATTCACTTTATCAAAATCTTCCATAATTTTGGAAGACCTCTATTTGGTCATTGATTAGCCTTCTTTATTCATAGGGAAAAATAAGGCCACTTTCCTATAACAGGCAAAGCTGCCAAAGCTTGGGGAAGTACCTGAAATATCCTTTGCCATCATCTTCTTTAATCTCCAATGAAACAGTAAATGTGAATATATCGCTGTCTGGTGTTAGTGTTGGTGGATTTGCTGAGAGAAGAGTCTGCTTTGCAGACCGTCGGAAGGCTGTGGCAAAGCTGTAGAGAATGCGACTTACCTAAAATATAGATTGAGAAAAAAATAAATCAGTTAAAAAAGCAATCTTGCGTTCAGGATAGAATAATTTCCAAAATTAAGTCTCTAATTGCGTTAAATATTTATTTTAAGTGAAATATTTCCAGAATCTCGACTTTTCAGTAGTAAGTTCCTACTTCCAAACTTTAACAAGTACCGACTAAAAATCTACTTAGAGTCATACAGTCATATGCAGGGAAGCAGACCCTTCGGTCCAAATCGTCCATGCCGACCAAGTTTCCAAAGCTAAACTAGTCCCACTTCCCTGCATTTGGCCCATATCCCTCTCAACCTTTCCCATTGATGTACCCATCCAAATCTCTTTTAAATGTTGTAACTGTACCTGCATGTACCACTTCCTCTGGCAGATCATTCCACATACAAGCCAGTGTGTGTGAAAACACTGCCCCTCAGGTGCCCTCTCACTCTAAAAATATGCCCTCTAGTTTTGAATTCCCCAATCCTAGTGAAAAGGCCTTTGCTAAATCACCTTATCTATGCCCCTCATGATTTTATAAACCTCTAAGGTCACCCCTGTAGCTCCTATGCTCCAGTCAAAGAAGTCCCAGCTTATCCAGCCGCTCCTTATAACTCAAACGTTCCTGCCCCAGCAACATCCTTGTAAATCTCTTCTGAACCCTCTCCAATTTAATATCCTTCCTGTAGCAGGATGACCAGAACTGTACACAGTACTCCAAAAGTAGCCTCACCAACGTCCTTGTACAACCTCAACATGACGTTCCAACTCCTACACTCAATTGCCTGAGCAATGAAGGCAAGCATGCTAAATGCCTTAACCACCGTCTTACCTGTGATGCAACTTTCAAAGAACTATGTACCTGATCTCCTAGGTGTCTGTTAGACAACACTATGCAGAGTCCCACCATGAATTGCGCAAGTCTTGCCCTTGTTCGTCATATTAAAATGCAATACCTCACATTTATCCAAATTAAACTCCATCTACCACTCCTCAGCCCACTGGCATCATACATCAAGATCCTGTTGTAATCTTAGATAACCTTCTTCACTGTCCACTATACCACCAATTCTGGTGGCATCTGCAAACTTACTAACCACACCTACTAAATTCTCATCCAAATTGTTTATATAAATGACAAACAACAGTGGACCCAGCACACCAGTCCCTGCGGAACACCGTTTATCACAGGCCTCCCGTCTGAGAAACGGACCTCCACCACCCTCTGTCGCCTACCATCAAGCCAATATTGTATCCAACTGGCAAGGTCTCCCTGAATCCCATGTGATCTAACTTTATTAATCCGCCTACCATGCAGAAACTTGTCAAAGGCTTTGCTGAAGTCTATGTAGACAACGTCTACCACTCTGGCCCCATCTATCTTTTTGGTCATGTCATCAAAAATGCAATCTCTCCAAATGCATATAAATCCTCCCTCTGGGAATCCTGTCCAATAATGTATCTACCAGTGAGGTCAGACTCACCAGTCTATAGTTCCCAGGCTTCTCCTTACAGCTTTTCTTTAATAAAGGGACATTCGACCCCCTCCAGTACTCTAGCACTTCACCCGTAACTGTAGATGATACAAACATCTCTGCTAGGGTCCCCACAACTTCTTCCCTAGTTTCCCACAACTGTCCTAAAATACACTTGATCAGGTCCTGGAGATTTATCCACCTTTACGGTTTTAAGATTTCCAGCACCACCTTTTCCGGAATATGTACTGTTTTCAAGACATCAAAATTTATTTCCCCGAGTTACCTTGTCTCCATGTCTTTCACCACAGTAAATACTGACAAAATATTTGTTTAGCATCTCTCCCATCTCGTCATTCCACACAATAGACGATCATGTTGATCCTTAAGGGGTCCTACTCTGTTCCTAGTTGCTCTTTTGCTCTTGATGTACTTGCAGAATCTCTTTGGATTATCCTTAGCCTTATCTACCAAGGATATCTCATAGCCCCTTTCTGCCTTCCCGATTTCCCTCTTAAGAATACCCCAAACCCCTTACACTCTTCAAAAGAATCACTTGATTCCAGTTGCCTATACCTAACATATGTCTCCTTCTTATTCTTGACCAGAGCCTCAATATCTTTATTCATCCATTGTTCCCCACTCCTACCAAAATATTTGCAATGCAACGTCAAAAGCCAAGTTTCAAACTTCAACAGTTGAGGGGTCCTGCCACTAACAAGCCGATTATAACAAGAACATAATAGTCATGATATTCAAACACATAATATCTTGAAAATAAGTCTGGCAATTTCGAATATCAAAATCAATCTCCAACAACCTTCTCACATCAAAGCCAACACAAGTGAAAAAATATTCTACACAAGATATTTAAACTAAATCCTTCAACAACGGTGCAATAAAATTAATCCACCACTGTAGTACTTGTAATATGTCTGTAAATAAATTACTTCTAATAAATCTAATTTCTAAAATGCATAAAAGCTTAAGGCTTACTGCTTCTTGTATTTCACATCGAAAGACATGAATTCTGAAAATTTCTGCATTGTAGTGACTTTCAGTGAAGGCAAAGCAATCACTCTCAGAAGTACCATCATGCCCTCTGACACAAAAAAGGATCTTGTAGATTGGATAGTTTGCTATTTCAGTGTTCGTTTGTGGATCTAGTAGTCTGTAAACAAATCATAAAATACTGTTTTAGCACTTCTAGCCCTAATTTTTTTTCTCAAGTTTTACTTTCAGTCACCATTCATATTTTACTCAGAGCATGCAACATATGCCTCCAAAACAGGACAAACTGAATCCACATATCATGGCAGTTTTGGCTCAAATTCACACTGGAACATTTCTGCTCCAATTTCTCTCCATTGATGAGATAAAATACCATGTGTCAGCTTAGTCCACTTTCACGTTAAAAGTGTATGTTGTGGAATTGTGCCCAGAGTTACTTTTGTTCTTGTATTCCAGTTACCACATTTTTTAGAAAATTTAAAAACAAATAAAAACTTGGAATAATATGAACACATTCACTACATGTGATTGTGATTTGCAGAAGGTACTTTTAACACAGCAAGTTAGTTTCAACTGCACAAAGTTCTGTCATTTGGCGCCTCTGATTATAGTAAATTGCAAAAGTGAATAGAATGCCAGTTATTTCCTAGGTACTGATACAGGAGAGCCACACACACTACAGATTTTCTTGGGTTGGATTCCATGGATGCAGCAAATTTTCCTACATCAGGTATTCAAAAAAAAAGTCAGTTGTCCACAGGGCAGCAAATAACTGCTGCTTTGAAAGTTAAGCACACAGTAATCCTACAAAATAGTTCCAGATGAAAAGAAAATACAAGGCCAAAAATGGGGAATGTGTAAAGGGAGGCTTATCCAGAGGGAACAGACTTGAGAGGATTTGAAACCCGAAGATAAAATTAGCTGAGAATCAGCAATTCTGCTGATGATGTGGAATAATGACCAGTCATATTGTCAGTTGTGCAGAAACTATTAGCTTTTGCATAGTGAATAAATGACCAACATTCAAAAATATTAAAAGAGGAACATAAATGTAAATAACGGCCCAAATCAAATAAGCTAGAAAAATTAAATACTGCTCTGAAGAGTCATCTAGACTCAAAACATTAGCTTGCTCTCTCTCTCCACAGATGCTACCTGACCAACTGCGACTTCCAGCACTTTTTGTTTTCAATTAAAATTAAATACCACCTTCCTGTGAAACAGATTCTTAAACATGGTTTCCTTTTATGCAAAGTCAAAGCTTTTTATCTTGCACTTTCAAATCTGTCTTGAAAAGGGGGCAACAATTTACACAACACGAGAAGAGGGTGCTGACTGGTTGGTTTATTGTTGATGTGGATATGCAGTAGGAACAGTTAACTTGCACTCCAAGCAGGCAGATAGACCAGTAGTCGGGGCATTGGCACAGCAAGACATCAGAGATCAGCGGCTTCTATGACCCCCTCCTTTACCCCAGTAAAAATAAAGTTATTTTGTACAAGTTCTTTTTGCCTACAGGATTCTGTGCACAGCTTCAAGCACGTGCCAACGTGTTGTACCACAAGCCCGAATGAGTTTTAATTGGTTTCTGGAGTAATTCTCAACAGTCTCAATTATTTATTAAACACTGTCCAAGAATGGAATCACATAATGTTGCTGCACATAATGTTTTGAAACTTGCAAACAGGTTGGGAAGGAAGTTGATCATGTGTGCATGGTCAATGGGGTGCCTTGTTCATTCTAGTCTGCTAGTCATCGAGATGTAGGGCCTACATATCTGGAATCACAACAGCATGGAAGCTATCACTTTACTCATTTGAGAGATAGGTAAAACAACTTCTTGCTCAAATTTTTGACAAACATTTCTACTTTTTAACAAAAATTGGGCACCATTCAGAGCCAGAAGTGGTGCCCATAGGCACTTTACTGAATTTAAGCAATATAGATTAAGCAATGATATGATCAGGGTAGCCATTAGGACACAGGATAACTTTGATATGCCCTTAGCAAGATTATGCAGCAAGCAGCATCATTATTCACGAAGTTTCCAATAAGACTGATCTTGTAGCACTGGGAATGTCAGAGTCCTATAGCATAACCTTTCAATAGATAGTGGTAGAGAGCCATTTGGTAAATTTCTCAACAGCAGTGAAATGAAGCTTATTTGTTTGCGCCATTTCAAAGATAAGTTTGAGAGGAGTTTATTAAGGTGTATTAAGAATTAAAATGAGAATTAGGTTTATTGTAACATGTACTCACATGAGTGCAGCGAAAAGTTTACAAAGTCACCACTTATGGTGCCATCTTAGGTACAAAGGTACCTAGGTACAGGATGTTAGGAATAAATTATAAAAATAAAGAAATATAAAGTTCAGCATTACAGTCCTTCAAGCACAGCATGCCAAGCCTTGCCTCCAGACCGTGTCAAACTCAACCTGGGGCTGCCTGCTCTCGCTGCTGCCGCAGATGCTTGGGGACCTCGCTCTCCACCACAATGGCTCAATTCCACCATGCTGGGCTCACTCCCTTCTGCACTGCACAAACCCGCCCTGCACAGATGGCAAGTAGATCAAAATAAGGAAAATAACAAGTGAAAGAAGAAAAATAATAAAATCAGATGCAAATGAGCTCTAGGCAGAAGCCCGCACGGTACACTGCCATTCCACTATGGTCTTGGAGTTTAGATACAGCTGTGGATTCAAATATTGCAAACAGGAAGTATGCAAGGTCAAATCATTCTTTTTATGGCAACCAAAAAAGGTGTCAGCAAGAATTGAGCCTGTAGTATCTATTTGGGTGCACATGGTGTTGCTCAAATTTAACTCAACTACACAAGTTGCTAAGTTCACAAGCTCTATGAAAAAAGATTCAGGCAACAGGAGAACTACGGTATAGTGACATGGTGCAAATATCAATGTGTCACTGGTCAATGTACACATTGAGATTCCTACAGTTGCATATGTTACAGAATCAATATTGTCAGACACATTACTGGGTCCTTAGCAAACTACTCACGAAAAAAGCCTGATCCTAAGATAGGATGCATCGAAACTACTCTGCCAGTGGTTACCCTGATCAATTAGTACTTGCTATAAAATCAGGCAGACTCATGAAAGGGCTAACAGCCAGTACTTTTAATTCTGAACAGTTCTCAGCCTATCTGTGATTACATGCGAATGGAAAAAAATGCCTCATATATTTCAATAGCAGGTGAAGTTAACTGTCTCATGATGTTTCCTTGCAGCAAACTCATGACTGGTTTCTCCAGTAAGAATGCCGTCAGGCCAAAGCAACATTATGACTTAGGAGTTTCAGTGCTGCTATGCTGCCAGGTACAAAGGCCATAGCTTCAATGACCAGCAAACTGTTTCAAACATATCCCCTTTGATGATTGGAAGCAGACGGTATGTCAATCATGCTCAGGCAGCCCACGTCTCCAAGCTACAGAACACCATCTCTAGTTGTGGTTTGGCAATTGGAAAAAATTTGTTAAATAATCCAGACTGTGCTGCAAATTACATGAAATCAAGCTAAGGTTATCAGTCAGACTCACAGTGTACTAGAAGCAACATGGAGGACCTTATTTTAAGGTAGGCAAAAGGAATTTGTACATACATTACACCAAGTTCATTGTAAGAATAACAGGCCTAGGCAACTGTTAACCCCTGCTGCATTCTTACAGAAATAACTTAATCAATCGGCTACCCACCTAGTCTGAGGAGTAAAGGTTGGCAGTTAACTGTTTCTGCTGCATTGCCATGCCTATGACGGCTCAAACAATCAGCACCGCCTTTTCATGCCACATGAATGAGTGCCCCTTTTTACAAGTCTGTTTTGTGTCCTAGGCTGGACGAATGCAAGACAAAAAAAAAAAATGAAGTGACTCACTTAGACAAAGCCACTGTGCATTTTATCCGGACTACAGGTCGGATAACCCTAATTCCTACCTCACAATTCCTTCGGAAACATTAGGCACCGAGAGTGTCACATCTAAAGGGACCTGACACTGGCTTCGCAAAATGGACACCATACGGAGGGCTTCCACCTCACTCCGAGGAGCATTCACTGAAGCACATCCCAAGTACGTGAGTTTGCTGAACAAAACGCTGTCTTCATCTGGTATGGGTGTCGAGGGACTGGAGTTTGGAGAATCCACTAAGTTCAACACAGAAAGTAGTTAGTTATGACAGCAGGCTCCCAGTTTTTATTCTAGGTAATTTTTATTAGCTCTTGAAATGGATTAAAAATTGTTTGACTCAAGTAATTTTCAGAGAACTGTAACAAGCAGTGCTTCCCAAACTATTTTTCAATGTGACTCCTTTTTAATATTTGAAAATGTAAATGATCCAACAATAAAACAAGAGCAACATAATAATATTCAGTATACAATTATTATTTCGAACTTAAATTATATTCCACATAAAACTAAATTCCACATAAATCTTCTCATAACAATCAGGTGAGACTTGAATCAATTTCAATTTAAAATATAACAAGCATTAATTTCCTTTGCACCTCCTTCATATCAAAGGTCTATTTTCTGAATGCATGTAAGAAGACACCTGCTCTAACTCTCCAGCTAAGTCTAGTCTTCTACTACCTCAGTTGTTGGACAGCAGATTCGACATTAAATAGTGGGAAAACCAAAGCTATTGCCTCAAATCCAAAGCATAAACTTCATGTCTTTGCAAGAGCCCCTACTGTCGTTATTTGAGCCAAGCTGCAAACCCGGAGTCTTCTATAGTTAGAATTCCAACCTCACTTTCTCTCCATCACAAAAATCACCTAGGCTGTAACCATGCCAATTTATAGACCACCTCAACTCATCATATGGTATGGTGAGTGGCTTGGAGGAACAGGGCTGAGAATAGATTGGTTTAGGGCCAGGCTGATGCAAGGTCAGTTGATGGCGTCAATAGCAATAAAATGGATGCCACAAAACAATGGATGCAGTCTTTTCTTATTTAATTGGTGGACATTTATATTCATCTTGTAGTGGTAGTGGATATAAAAATTCAATAACTAGCACTAAAGCTAATCTGATTTTTCCCAGTTCATATATAAAGTCACTCACGATCATTGCTGTCCCTTTGTCATAAGTGACCAATATTTATTCTTGGATACTTTGTCCCACATGATTACTATTAGGGGGCCTGTAGATCAAAATTATTATCTGCTTCCCAACAGCAGCAATGCAAGTTTATATCAGTTATTTTCAATCAATTATTATCCTTGCAACATTCTCTGCAGCAATGAGCAAGAGTTCAAACAACTGTGTTGCCTGCCTGGCACCAGAATTTGGGATATCTGCTCATGACTAGAAAGAAATTTGCAGTTGTAAGGAGGAGGACCTGGTACTCACAGTCCATGCAGGCACCAAAACATAGACATAATTAGGAAAGATCTCTTGCATAGACAGTATGAGATCCAAGCACAAAATTTAAAAGTAGAACCTCAAAAGGTTATAACCTCTGAATATTACCTGAGCCATGCACAGGGTGGCACGGTAGCACAGTGGTTTGCAATGCTGCCTCTCAGCACCAGGGACCTGGGTTCAATTCCAGCCTCGGGCGACTGTCTGTGTGGAGGTTGCACATTCTCCCCGTGTCTGTGTGGGTTTCCTCCGGGTGCTCCGGTTTCCTCCCACAGTCCCACAGATGTGCAGGTTAGGTGGACTGGCCATGCTAAATTGCCCATAGTGTTCAGGGAGGTGTAGATTAGGTGGGTTATAGGAGGATGGGTCTGGGTGGGATGCTCTGAGGTTCGGTGTGGACTTGTTGGGCCGAAGGGCCTGTTTCCACACTGTAGGGATTCTATGAAATTGGCATTGGTACCTACAATTAGAAAGTTGATGATGTGGTTCAGACTGTTGTGGGAGAAGTGAGTTCCAGTCTGTGGGACACGAACATCAGTACTAGGGAAAGTGGGCTCTACCATTGAGATGGTCTGCACCTGAACTGTGTTGGGGCCACTGTTATGCAAACTACATAAATAGGGAAATAGTGTTTTATACTATAGTACTGAGGGCAAAAGAATCAAATGGCAAAGGTGTGAGATATCAAAGAATGCATGCAGTATTTAAAACTAACTAAACAAAATGTATTTATTTACTTCAATATGGACTTTCAGATAGATACTAAAAAGACATGGCTGCAGATGACAAGGATAGTGCCCGTGAATAGAGGGGTGTATGGCATTCAAGAAGAATAGTAAGCTAGGTAAAAGTTGAATTTACAAGTCTCCAAATACCAGTAAACTAATACCAGACGAGATCTAAAACAAACTGATTTCAGGGAAGATTTGGCTGGGGAAATAAGAATCATATTGTGCTGTAATCATACCCCTCCACCTTCTCTTTGTCAGATGATTTTAGAAGAAAAGGGAAATTTGTATTCCGATAAAATGTAGAGAGCTGACCAGATGACACAATGTTGATTTAATGTCAGTTACCAAACTAATGCAAATTTGTGACACTTGTTTCTTTCTATTCTGAACTGCATTAAGCCAACACAAATTTATTTCAGTTTGCATGGAATATCATTACAACCAGTATACTGGGGAGATTTTCATCTCACTGGGTCTTAATTTAAACTTAGATTTCCAACATAAAAGGTTGAGGCAGAAAGAATAATCATCTCTGAAGAGACAAAAGACCAGGATCACATGTCAAACTATGATTTCCAATTATTGTGAAGCCAGATCCAGAGCATATAGCATCAGGACCAGAGGATGGTGCTATTTTGGTTGCTTAATGAGGCATTCATAAAATACCGATTGGGAAAAAAATACAAATGGTGTGAATATCTGTGGTAGCCTTAAAGACTGCCTTACTTATATTTTTAGTTTGGATTTTTATTTTTTCAGAAATTATATTCTACAAGGCAGAAGTCAGGATGGCCATTAAAACAACTTTCTAAAAATGGTTTTTGTTCGTTATTTCGCTGGTTAGTTTGATCATATCAAATATGACATACTTTCTCAAAAGAATGGATGGGTAATGAAAGAATGATAAATATACCAATATTTCTCAATGTACAACAACAATCTGAAATGTTAAAGAAATGAGAATTTAGGAATGGAAGTGGAGTGGGCAAAATAAATTCACTTCACAATAAACTTTACATATTGGTCATATTTAATCATTTTGTTTGGACAGGGTGGATATTGGAAGTGAATATTCTGAAGGTTACATTTCTTTCCTGTATCATCTTTTTCCCCCAAAGTATATATTCTAACATACTGTGCTCAGATAACTTTATGACACTGACATCGACACAAAAGAAAGGTCAGCTTTCTGGAGCTTTTTTTCAGGGAATGACATCCTAATTTCTTAGAATTTTCCACAATCTAATCATGTACTCTTAATGATCTACATAAAACACTACTGTTTAAGCTTAAAGGTACAGAAATTTCAATTTTAATAGAGAATGAAAAGACAAAATACTGATCTTAAATAAAACAAAGTGAAGAATCATACTGAACTGAAGCCATTAACAATTTTTCTTCTCTACAGATGTTTCCAGAGGTGCTCTCGAATGGTTTTATAATATAAACAATGGACAGAATAAAAGTAAATAAGGCATTTAAAAAATTGCATACTAGGCAATGCGCATAGGAAGTTCAATTTGACATACACGTTCCATGAATGGTATCAATATAGCTCAGGATAAAGTTAAAAGACAGGGCTGGTAGTTGTACTTTTGAGAAAGTGTGTCATATTTGTCATAACTCTAAAAAACCATTTTCTGGAAAGTTGTTTTAATGGTCATCCTGACTTCTAATTGTTTAAGATGCTTAGAACAAAAAGAAATCTCAGCGAAAACAAGGATATAAGTCAACAGAACTCATTCTGATCAAACTACATCTTGAATACTGCTTCCAGTCTTGGGCATAAAAATGCATGAGAATTAAGGATTGAAGTCTTGGAAGCATGTGCTCGACTACTAGAGACCAACTTTACCTTGGTTCACCTGCCAGCAAATTGATGGCATTAAGTGCAATGTTGGTTTTACACTTAATAAAAACCAAGAGAACTGCGGATGCTGTAAATCAGGAACAAAAACAAAGTTGCTGGAAAAGCTCAGCAGGTCTGACAGCATCTGTGAAGGGAAAAACAGAGTTAATGTTTCGGGTCCGGTGACCCTTCCTCAGAATGGCTGGTTTTACACTTCCTCGAATGTTCGTTTACACTTGTCATGGGACAGCAAAATGGGATGTGAAACACGTGTCTCATCCAAACTGCACTATGGGGTTCCCATTCAGTGACAGCTTGATTTAAATTAACCCTATGTTGCTATAACAGCACTCAAAGATGAACTTATGTATTTCAGTCCATGACTCAGATATGCAATATCAATGTGGAATAAGCTAAATCCAGAGCAATACAAATTAGAACAATAATAGTAGGATAACTCCAGGAGGAAAAAACTACTTTGAAACATGCAAATGAGATTTTGCTGGGATCAGCAAGTTATTGCTCCTACTAAGAGTGATAAGTATGTGGACGAGGCTTTTAAATGAGACAAAAGGAGGAAAACACTGAGAACAGTTTAAGAACCAGGTGCATGCTGTGATAGGAAGGGGGTACGAGTGTTTTTTTCCTGGATGGATAAGCCAAACAAACATTACTACAGGCAAAGATACTTGATAATCATGGAAGATGAAAAGAACAAAAAGAATCTACTAATCTGCCTGTATACTGGGAAGATTTTCCATTTAGGGCTTTTTTTCTCCCCCTTAAGAACAATGACAGAAGTGTGAAAATCTTCTCAAACTTTTCACAACCAGTAAACTGGGCAAATCATGATCAAAACCATTTTTAGACTGCTGATTGATCTGTATGAACAACATTAACCTTCATTCAAGTAAAAGGATAGATGACCAATTGATTACAGTCACAGAAACAGTGCTGCCTGGGTCACTATAGGACCATGCTGAGTTTTGCTCACTCTCTCACCTTACTAATTCTTTGAAGTACCACCACAGTGTTAAATCATACTGACCTTCTGTCATAAACTAAAAATTAGCTTTTAGCCTCTACTCATGTCTCCTTCTGTTTTGGGCATCACCATTATAATACCTCCAGGTGGCATCTCAAGAGTTTATTTTTAAATTCATTCTCAGTAGGTGGGCAACAAGTCCAACAGTTATTGCCCATCCCTAATGACCCAGGGGGCAGTTGAAAGTCAACACTATTGCTGTGGGTCTGGATCCACCATGTAGGCCAGGCCAGGTTTCCTTCCCTCAAGGACGTTAATGAACCATGATGGATTTGGGGTTTTTCTAAATGCAAAAGTAAACAGACTAGTAACTCCAATTCAACTGCTGGAGCTTTAACATTCTTTTTAAAAATTAATTGCATGAAACAATCTAGAAAACATCATCTTGGACTTCAAGAACCCTCCACTCTAATATTAAACATCTGTTCCAGTGTTTTTTTTTAAATGTAATTTGCTTTCCTTTGTTTGGCCTCCCTTCAACTTCCTTATTGGATTTAAAAAAAACTATGCCTTTCCGCTCAGAACCTTTTATTTCTGTTTTAGCACACAGTTAAAACTTTTGCATGCCAAGACAAGGCATTAAAGCCATTGTCTCTCACCATACCACACCCTGGTCCCCCGAGATTAGGCAACCACATGCCATTATTACATGTCAGAGCCCTAGTTTCCATTGGCAATCATCCCATCCCATCCTATTTTATTTCATGCCACATTAGTTAAATATAACAGCAAATATGTCTATCTTTTTTACTTTCCAAAATTGACAAAAGCATTACTCCTGCCATCCCAGCTCATCCTGCCTCTATGGGGATCTTCTCTTCAATCTATCTGGCCTCTTCTGTGTCTTTTCCTATTAAGAAATTTTTATTTGACCTTTAACATTTGTTCTAAATTTTCCATTCAATATTTTCTCTATATAATCAGCTTTCATCTCCAATTTCAAAAAAGGTTAACATGCATCATGTAAGCTCGTGATTCATATCTGTCCATCCCAATTTACACCAGAGTTAATGTTTTTAACATTTATTACATTATAATTGATTTTCTATCAGTGCAGCATTCCATGCGTAATTTTTCATATTTTCCTCTAATTTACAGATTCAGATTTAATATACCATTTTAGATTTTTCTTTATTGTGGATCACATCAATGATTTTTAGAATTATGAAAATTACAGGTATGTTATCATTTGGGATTTTGAGGCAACATGGGAGTTACACAGGCACATAATGGTGTTACCATTAGAGAGACAATGTAGTGGATGCCAACTACATCAATAAATCCAAAAGGACATCAGTTATACGAGCAATAGGATATTATCATCTGATTCGCTGGGAGCAAAACCGTACGAGATCAATTGGTAAATACTGGTCTGATATCTGAAAACACAGCAAAGCAATTAAACAAAATTCTAGGTTGAAAATGCCCTAGAATAATAACTTGCCGATGCAACTTGCTATTCCAATACATGCACTTTTAACATTAATATCTGCATTTGATGTCAGAAACAATTTCTAAAACCTCCCGGTGTGGGGGAAAATGTCAGGTTATTGTTACTCTATTTAAATAGTGACTTAAATTGCAATTGTTCCTTTCTCATCTTTCAAAGATTATGAAAGATTTGTTTTTCTCTACTCATTGGGATGACTGTGTCAGTAGCTTTACAATTCCACTTACTTCCTTGTGTTGGTTTAATTAGTAGAGTCATATCTGTTTTCTGAGGCACCACCATTAACCCTGAATAAACAGGAGACGGAGTTAAGGAAATATCCTCAGTCAGTGAATCTTCACTTGCAGGAGAAGCCGGCATTGCTTCCAAAGGTTCTCTAGCAGCCCGATGACCCTCCATTGATGAATCCATTAATACATCCTCGAGTTCCTTTTGGAGTTGCTGTTCACTTCCATTTCCAACTATCTGTGAGCACACACAGGGTTAATAAACTTTACTAATTTTTACAAGTTGCAAGGAAAATGTGTGTTCACTTTAGTAGGACACAACCACACATTAAATTTCACTCTTGGAAAGCATTTTATTCATTGTAATATGGAAGCTAGTTGTAATTGTGTTAGCACTTAGTGCTTTACTTAAACCAACTTCACTTATATCTTTACAATATTTCGCAACATATCTCAAAATAAGAGCACAGCTCTCGAAAGGTAATGTAAAATGATGCAAGTGACCAAAACTTCACAAGGAATAAACACTGGAAGGACTGCTTATGCATAGGTAACCACACAGCTAAGGTTTTAGCATAAAACAAATATAATTTGACATTTATACATACCCATTCACATAGTCACATGTGGTAAAACACTTCCAGTGCTGTGGAATCCACACAATAAGTACACAAGACAATTAATAACCACCAACATAAGCTAAACAGGAAAATCAAAAGTTATTTCAGCATATAGGAGAAGCTGCAGGAAATCACACAGTGATAAATAGGAAAACCAGTTGTCCAGAAATAAAATGGTCAGGGCCAGAAACAAGACAGTTGAAAGCACAAGCAAATTCATCAAGATAATGGTATCCAGAGCAGTACTGTACTTGCTATTCATCCAACTGATTAGTAACCTAGGATATGGAGAATATCTAAGGCCACAAGTCATGTCCGTAAGAAATGATAATCAAATTATTTTACAGGCTACAACTTTCTTCTTTAAATTTTAAAATGGAATTTGGACTAAACTATGGCTACTATTGAGAACGTGTTGCAAATTGACAATCTCTGGGAAGCTCCAACCACCTGCTTGCAAGACAAAGTTTAAACTACCACCTAAATTAAAGCAAAATACCGATGTTGGAGATATGAAATACATCAGAAAATGACAGAAATTCAGCAGACCCAGCAGCATCTTTAAAGAGAGGAACAGGGTTAATGTTTTGAGTTCAATGCTTGCTGAATTTCTCCAACGTTTTCTGTTTTTATTTCAGTTTACAGCCTCTCGGCCTCTCTCATGCCCTCCATCATGTGGATATTGCAGTCAAACTAATGTAAAAGAATAGGAGACACAGTGTTGCCCAAACAGGGACTGAGAATAATGAAAAGCTATTGAGATCATTAATTATGCCTGTGTGGTGCTCGTGGGTCGCTACTTACTTCAAATATTGAACAATGCCTTTGGAGCAGTGCATAGATGCTTTACCTAGTTTACTTGTGGCGATACTGCTACTCCCATTTATCTCCAGAGGTGAACACTGGACCCTTGGTCAGAGGCATTGAAACCAAGTGTCAAATTGAAACAGATGCCTTCATGGATTAAAAAAACCCAAAGGACCAACGTCATCCACAAAATCCCCTGCAGAGACTGCGAGAAACACTACATCGCACAAACAGGAAGGAAACTAACAACAAGAGTACATGAACACCAACTGGCTACAAAAAGACACGACCAATACTCACTCATCTCAATCCACATGGACAAGGAGAACCACGACTTTGACTGGGACAATACCAAGATCCTGGGACAGGCTAGGCAGAGACAAGCACGAGAATTCCTGGAAGCATGGCACTCCACAAAGCATGCTATTAATAAACACATTGAACTCGACCCCATATATATTCCACTACGAAGGAAACCCAGAAATGAGGCAATCCACCTCAACGGACCCCAGAGTTTAAAAACCAGGTGGGAAAACACACCGACGCTTCATTGGAGGCTGCACTGAGGATGTTACCAAGCATGGTAACGAAACGTCTGCAAAACAACAAACCAGTTTGGCACACCAACCAACCTCAACACCCACAACCCGAGCTACAGATCTACTCCAAAACCTTAGAAATAGCTTCTCTCTTAGAAGGAAGTTTTTCCAGAATAGTTCAGTGAATAAGTTACTTCAGCAGACTTTTACCTTATACAGGTTCCAAACCAGGTGGGTTTAGTAAGAAATCTGCAGGTTACTAGAAACTGATAAAGTTTAAGCTTTCAGTATTGTAGGTATTCATGCAAGACTTCACATATCACAGGAAAGAAACTTAAGAAGAACTTAAAGATTTGATATAGAAGGTTAGTTCCTCTGGACTTGAA